AGATGGTTACTAAGATGGATAGACGATGGCTGAATAAAATAATGAATGAATGAATGAATGAATGAATGAACGAATGAACGAACGAACGAATGAATGAATGATGAATGAATGAACGGACAAACAAACAAACAAATGAACGAACGAACGAACGAACAAGACTAGTGAATAAAACCGACATGACGTCGACGATGTTGTAGTTGAAGTTGCTGGAAAGGAGGTTGGAGAACAACTGAATGACGTTTGTGGCCGTTGTGGTTGACTTGCGCGCTTCTAACAACTGCGCTGATGAATCTGGAAATAATAATAATAACAACAATAATAATAATAACAATAATAATAATAACAACAACAATAATAATAACAATAACAACAATAATAATAAAAGAAATAAAATGAATGAATACTGGCCAAGTTTTTTAGGTTGCTTATTCAAAGTTTCTTCATCGGCAGCTGTTGTTGTTGTTGATGTTGTTGTTGATGTTGTTGTTGATGTTGTTGATGATGTTGTTGATGATGTTGTTGTTGATGTTGTTAATGATTTTGTTGTTATTGTTGCTGCTGATGTTGTTTTTGTGATTATCGGCCGGTTTAGTGTAGAATTTTCACTCGTTTTACCATCATCCAAACATACTGTACCATCATTCTCGTTGTCATTTTTAGTATGACCATCATGTTTCTTATCATTTTGAAAGGCGTTTGGCATTTTGAATGTTGTTGTTGTTGTTGTGTCGTTATGCTGTTTTCTAAGTATGTCGTTGTTTTGTTGGCTTGTTGTAGTCGTCTTTGTAGATGACGTCATTAATGTTGGTGTAGTTGTTGAAGATGACGTCATTAACGTTTGTGTTGTTGATGTTAAATATGTTGTTGTTGTTGCTACCGTTGCTCTTGTTGTTGATGTAGTTGTTGATGGTTGATCACAAGACAGTGTTTGTTGTTGTTGTTGTTGATGTGATTGGAGGGTAGCATCATTACTTAAGGATGAATTTGTTGCTGATGAAGTTTCTGATGTTGGTGATGGGGTTATTTCCGTTAAAGAGACTGTTGTAGTTGCTGTTGTTGCAATTGATGTGATTGAATCTGACGTTACAGTAGATGTAATTAACGTAGCTGCTATAGATGTCGATGTTGCTGGTGTTTGTGACGTCATTACAGAAGATGAAGACGTTAATGTTGTTAATGTTTTGGATGTTAAGGTAGTTGTTGATGTTTTTGTCACTGTTGTTGTTGCTGTTGTTGAAGCCGTCGTTGGTTGCGGCTGCTGTATAGTTTTAGAATTCCTGTCTGATTTCTTCAACAGCCCCTCAAACTCGGCAAATCTGTGCAGAGAAATGACGTCATCATCGTCGTCGTCATCATTATCTTTTCCAATATAATAACATCAACAATAACAACAACAACAACAAAAACAACAACAATAATAATAATGATAATAATAATAACAACAAAATGATAATAATAATAATAATAGTTACTCATTCGTCCAGTTGGTTGTCGTTGTAGTCAGGCTTCTGGTGACGCCGATGAAAGCATTGGACGCCTGTAGCAACGTCTGATTGGCCACTACAACAATGACGACGACGATGATCACAAATTAGTAAAAACGCATAAACAAACAAACGAAAAAACAAACAAACGAACGAACGAACAAACAAACGAACAAACGAACGAACAAATAAACAAAAAAACGAACGAACGAACGTACGAACAAACAACGAAAACCTTTCAAATCCTGACAACTATTTAAATGTAGATGGTCAACCAATGACAAAACATAGTCCAGCTTTGAGGACAAAGAATCTTTTTCAGACTGTGCGGTTCAATAAAAGAAATTTGGTCTCGTTTTTGCGGAATAGTATCAATGTTTACCGTCTCGTATCGTAACATATCGCGTATTGTTTCGCAACAACAACAACAACAACAGCCAGGAGAAAGAAGAACACAGCAGCAGCAACAGGAACCGCAACAGCAACATCAACAACAATAATAATAATAACCTTGGGCCTTCTCTATAATTCGATTGATGACATTATTATTGTGGTCGTTGCTGTTGTGGTTACGCCTATTTGATGTCTTCTGGTCTTTCTTCATGCGTGATAGGTTTTCAACAATAGACTCAAACAAGTTTTTCAATCTATATTTGAAGAATTAAATTGTACGATTAATCAATCAATTAATTAATTCATCTATTCAATCGTTTATTTGTCTATTAATTAATTAATTAATTCATTCATTCATTCGTTCGTTCATTCATTCATTCGTTCATTCATTCATTCATTTGTTCGTTCGTTCGTTCGTTCATTCATCCATTTATCCAACCATCCATGCATCCAACCTTTCTTTCACAAGAAGGCCTTCCTGTATTAGATGCTCTTCAAGTTGCTTAGTCTGCTGCTGAGACAGAAGCTCTATCACTCTGTCTGGTATGTTCATGTCTAGAACTTTAACCGGCGTGTATCTAGACAGATGCAAATGAATAACATTAACAACAACAACAACAACAACAATTTAACAATTACTTTTTGAATTACTACTACTACTACTACTGCTGCTGTTGCTGCTTTCTACTAAATTATTTCAGCTAATACCAGTAAGTAAGCAGTGAAAGAGGATGACCTTTAACCTTTAATACTGCTATTATTAATGGTATTATTGATAAAACTGCTTTAAACTACTGTAATCACTACTCGTCCTGCTACCACACTACACACGCACATACACATACACGTGCACACACACACACATAATACGTACACACACGCGCGCGCTCGCGCACACACACACACACACACACGTACACACACACGCGCGCACACACACACACACGTACACACACACGCGCGCACACACACACACGTACACACACACGCGCGCACACACACACACACGTACACACACACGCGCGCACACACACACGTACACACACACGCGCGCACACACACACGTACACACACACGCGCGCACACAAACACACACACACGCACGCACGCACGCTCACTTGAAAGCAACTCTAAGATGATCCCAATCGAAGAATTGAATGTAATGATGATGTAGCGAGTGAGAGCATCTGGCGGCATTCGATGACGATGATGATGACGACGAGGATGATGACGTTTGGTTGACGTAAGCATCGGCGTAGAACCTCAATTCGAGGTATTTGCCGAAGGACATGTTGTACGTTTCAGGTGACATCACGGTTACTGGAACTTTCTAGACGAGATAAAGAGAAGAAAGTATTTAACTGTCAACTCTACTAAAGAATAAGAGATACATTGTTTTGCTTTTTTGGCTAGGGAGTGATTGAACTGTAGAAATTTTCGCTATATAAATACATCTGTCTGTCTATTCGATTGATTGATTGATTGATTGGTTGATTGATTGGTTGGTTGATTGATTGATTGGTTGATTGATTGGTTGATTGGTTGGTTGATTAATTGGTTGATTGATTGATTGATTGATTGATTGATTGATTGATTGATTGATTGATTGATTGATTGATTGATTGATTGATTGATTGATTGATTGATTGATTGATTGATTGATTGGTTGATTGATTAATTGAAATTTATGAAACCAAATAAAAATTGTCATCTCAAAAAACAACAACAAAAAAAACCTGAAAACAAAGCAGACAGCAACTCCACATCAAAATGCACTCGCTGCTGCCAGCCCCACCAGGGCCACAAACAGCCCCAGAAGGCCCCCCAAAGACAGACGAACACCCAACTTGAAGCGACGACAATGACGACGACGACGCCGAGGCAGAGGAGGACGTCGACGATGACGCGGCGGCATTAGCGTCGATGGACTTCATGGTGACTTGTATGCAGCCGTTGTGGTGAACGAACTTTCTGACGTGGTCGCGAATGGGCGAGCCACACTTGAATGAAATGCACCTGTACTGGTCACTGAAGCAGAACTGGTCAAGAAAGCCACCGAGGGAGATGTCCGTGCCACTGTAGTACTTCATGGTCACTTCCCTGGAGAGAGAGAGAGAGAGAGGGAGAGATAGTGAGAAGGAAAGAAAGGAAGTTGGAGAGATGGTGAGAATGAGGAGGTGGAAGTTGGAGAGAATGTGTTGGCGAGGTGAGATGAAAACGATCGTAACGATGGTAACGAGTAGGAAAAATGACGATGAGAATGTTCATAACATCGTCACTCAGAGTGAGAATGATGAGTGACTAGAATACAAATATATACATACAAAAAACATACATAGAGACATACAATCATGCACACACACACATAGAAACAGACATAGAAACAGACAAAAAATGAAATACCAGGGACATATGCAAGGCTGTGGGTAGTTTCCAGATTTACTGGATATGCTACTAAACAACAAAGTGATATTTTGATGGTTCAAAACATCCATACAATCGATGAATTGTTGTTTTTGTTGCTTTTGTTGTTGTTGACGATTTGAGGACGATGACAGAGCGATGACGTCATTGTCGAGATGTTTGGGTTGTTTGGTTGCTGGGTTGCTGCTGAAATAGTAAGGGCTGACGTCCTCTTTGTACGACAGAGTGCCACCCCGGGCTCTATAGTCTGCCACCATGTTCTGACAAACATTATCATCATCATCACAAACATCATCATCACCATCATCACCACCACCATCATCATCATCGTCATCATCATCATCATCACCGACCTGAAAAGGCAGCCCATTAACGGATCCAATGTTGGAATTTTGAAGGAAGACGTGTGGAAGGTTGCGCTGAATTCTGTCACCATCATCATCATCAGCATCAGCAGCACCCACATCGTCATCATCCCCTTCACCACCATCATTACTCAATATTTTAGACCAGAAATGTGGAGGTGGGGTCAGGAAAGACCCGATGTTCCCCCCTTTGAAACCCTGGCAAGCACTCAACTCTAGGTAGGGGCAATAAAAAGTGGCGTGCGGCGAAATGGACAGCAACCCATCTTTCAAATATTTCTGCATCTTCCTCAACCTCCTCTCCAGATCGTCGTCACCACCGTCGTCACCCTTCAAAACAGTCTCACCACCTTCAGTGTGGAGTGCACTAACTTCAGTGTGGAGTGCACTAACTTCAGTGTGGAGTGCACTAACTTCAGTGCTGCCATCACAAGCCGGTTGCCTGTTACTAATATGAACGTCATTGCCAACAGTGCTAACTTCATCGTCGTGAGTCGTAGTACGTGAAGCTGGCATGCCCGCGTGTACGTCCATCAAATAGGAGAGTTCAAAGTTCATGTGGTTTATGGCGAAGATGGCAAATTTAAGAATCAATTTCACCCTGCGAAGGTCCTTCAACGAGGAGCCTTTTAAAATTACCGAACAACCAAGTTTAGGCAAACATCCATCTAAGTACATCAATGTTTTCATTTTTCCTGGAAAATAATAAATTTAGTTGTACGTACGTATGCAATGCATACAAAACCGCGTTGCACACACTTTCACCTAAAACCTTTTAACGTACATACGTACACATACAAACATATAATAGTGTATGTAATCGAAACAAATCAGCAAGAACGCATCAAACCAGAGGTGTGTGGGAACGATTTGACGTAGAAACGCTGGCACGTGCCAAGAGCTGACTTACTGACCAGTCCATCAATCGAGGACACTGGGTTCGTTTGCAGCATTCGCGATATCCTTCTTATCAGATCCTGTCAAGTTTCGTAATGCCGGCGGTCATCATCATTTTGAAGTAGTGATCAGTTAACATAATAACAATTGCAGCCAGCGACACGCCACCACCTCTGCCAAAAAATGAGACACGCAAACCAAATTCACGATCCACACGTACCGGCTTAACGTTACTGACAACAGTTACACCGGCATTAAACAGAAACTCATTGGCTAATCTGGAGACGGATTTTTCAACAATGACGACATCCGGTTCGACCTGCAGGATTCTTTCAACGCTCTTTTTCAGGAATTCTCGCTCCTGTTTTTATTAGCCTCACGGATCATGGTTGTTGGTGATTGATGGCAAAAAGTTTATGACATGGCCAAAAAATGTTTGAATCTGTGATGTTCATCTTGTGTTCTACTGTCTTGATGTTATGTCATTATACTCTGTGATGGTGTAACTGTTACAGTGACTGAATTCGAATGTACTAAATACAGTAGATCTCCAGTCTGTCGTGTGAGTGGATTCACTCGCAATCTCATAAGCGCCGTGTGTGTGTGTGTGTGTGTTTGTTTGTGTGTATTTGTTTGTGTGTGTGTGTTTGTTTGTGTGTATTTGTTTGTGTGTGTGTGTGTGTGTGATTGTTGCTATTGTTGCCTCTACGAAATACTAGAAATAGAATTGTAAAAAAAGAAAGAAATCACAACAGCCAAAACAGCCACAAAAAAAACCTGCAAAATCTGCGGCTCTAGCGACGAAAACTTATTCTCGACGCGTTGGTATTCCAGGGAGGTAGCGAGGAGTAGGATCTTTGGATTGGTGACGTCAGACCTCATCTTCCGGTGCGTGACGTTCTTCGTCATCACAACACCGTCTACAATCTCACACTCGTCAATCTCCTTACTGCTCAGAATCTGTCGCCAGTCAGGGCAAGGGTTAAATCGGAGCCATTACTACTATCATCATAACTACCTCCACCACCATCATCATCATCATCATCATCATCATCATCATAACCAACACCATCCTTACCATAACCAACTTAATCATTATCATAATTACCCCATCATCATCATTTTCATCATGACCTTTTTAATTTTTACATAGCTGCATACGTCCATTTCGTCATCGACCGCGGCCACTATATTATTATTATTACTATTATTGTTAATGTTGATGTCATTGTTATTATTATTATTGTTGATGTTATTGTTATTATTATTGTCGTTGATGTTATTGTTATTATTTTTATAGTTGTTGTTGTTGGTTGTTTCTCCCTTTGTTTTTAATTTGTTGTTGGTGTTCTTGGCAAGCATGACGATGACATCCTTCCACATGACGCTGATCTTCTGGCGAGAGATCAACTCGTCGCACAGCCTGCTGAGATGTCCCTTCAATTCTCTCCTTAATTGCGTGTGTGCGTGCGTGTGTGCGTGTGTGCGCGTGCGCGCGTGTGTGTGATTGATTGAGTGCGATTGAATGAATGATTGAATGATTAATTGATTGATAAGATGAATGAATGATTAATTGATTGATTGATTAGATGACTGAATGAATGAATGATTAATTGATTGATTAAATGAATGAATGAATGATTGAATGAAAAAACGATTGATTGATCAAGTTTTTTTTCTAGTCCACAAGCTATATCAAATTTTTATATTCAATTATAACATTAATCACTCAATACCAAAAAGCAATAAATAAACGAACTTAATGACGTCATGATCACACTGGCCGGCCGGCGTTTTTCCGGTCACATGATCAGTAAGAGTAACGGTAGAAGTAATGGAGGCAATGATATCAGAACTAGCACTGGTAGTATTAGTAGAAGTGTTATTTGTATCGGTAACATTAGTACCAGTTGTTGTAGGAGTGTGTGTAGCTTCATCCACACTGTATGAATTATCCTCAGGGTAAAGTGGGCATATATGTGAGTCATCTTCATCGGTAACTTCGTCCTTAATTTGTTCGCATTTGAGAGGCGATTTGAGCGGATGGTCGATATAGAAGGTTGATTTTCTCTCCAAATTACATGACTGCTGCGATTTCGCGTCTGAATTCTTTTCGTCGCCATCGTTGACGATGTTGTTGTTAGCCATGTCATCGTCATCGTCGTCGTCATCGTCGGCATTTCTTTGAATATTTTTAACCCAGAGAGGTTCCGTGCCTAAGTCATTATCATCGTCTACTATGACGTCATCTGATTCAATCGCGCTGACGTCATCTTCATTGGCACCACTAACTTTCCGCCAACTTTTAGGACCAGCTGGTGGTCTCTAGATGGAAAAAATTGAAAAAAAGCTTTAAAAATTATTAATATTATTAATTCCCTTTTTGTTAACTCTCCTTAGTAACAACAATACGCACCTAGCTGATGCAAATACACGTGAAACAACGCACCAACACATAGACATTGCATGTGAGAGACAGAAATCTCTTTGCATTCGAACCCGGTAAATGCAACAGCAGGACCAGGCGCCTTAACCATTACGCCATCTACCTCTCCATACATCTAAGTAATAAATGGATAAAAAACACGAGCCAAACAAACGTTAGTAGAAGGCCTAAAGTAGGTCTTGTTATCATCGACGAAATATTTGATGCTGCTGTCCACCGCTTGCATCAGGTGGGAATCCATCAGGGCCTGGCCAAACAAACACGCCTGTTTTCTATGGGTTGGGGGCAGGTAGGTAGGTACACACGCACACACACACACACCACACACACACGCACGTACACACACGCACGCACGCACACAATTAGTCATAACATTAGCCCCAACAGCATTGACAACAACAATAGATACAATTTATTATAATATGATATATTATAACAAGATAATAATATTATACTATGACAGCATTACATGAAGATAAAATTAATCTTTGTTTGTTAATTACATAAAGATAAAAAACCCAACAAAAATACTACTACAACAACAACAACAATACCTTGATGAAGCTTTATGTTGCTGCAACAACCAGTCAACGACATTACTACCTAGCATGCATCTATCGTAAGTCTTCAGTTTGTATCGCAACTGTTGCGTCGCTAGACCACCTACCATACTCAACCACAGTGACTTCAGTTGCATTGATTTCTGCGACAGAATGAAAAAAATTATAAATCTGAAGACAAACAAGGTACAATAGCGTTGTGCTACATTGTCAGACGCCTACATTACGGAGACCGGCTTCAAATGCGAGGAGAATACAATCTAATTGTTGACGTGTGTTGATGATAACAATAATGATAACTGATTACAATTTATTTAATTCTCCTAAAAACCCATATTAAAAAAATGCAAATTATATTCGAAAAGTTATTTTAAAAAATTAACCTGCAGAAGTAACTTCTTCTCAGTTGTGTACGGCTCTACAGAGGAAGCATTCTTGTAAGAGAGCTCTGGTCTGACAGTGTTCACAATTAATGATTATTAAAATAAAATTTAATTTATAATAAAATTAATGATATTAATACTATAGATAATAATTAAAATTGTAATTATGTTGCAAAATTCAAAAATTAAGAAGAAAAATTTCAATTACTTATCTGAATCCTCATCAAATATGGAAGATCTAATAGGATTGTAGTCAGAGCACCTTCTGTCAAAAGATCCACTTGAACCATTTTTATTAACTCCACTTTTGGTGGGGAAAAATTTATTTTTGGCAGACGACAAATTCATGATCTTTCGCTCTCCTGCTCTCCTATTGGCTGAAAATAAAAGTGACGCATTGGTAGTGTTGCTGCTGTTGGCCGGTGACGACGTTGATGACGATGATGGCGTTGTCGTTGTACTAAAACTAGTGAAATTAGCCAGAGTGTTTGTGTTGTTAGAATTGCTAGCTTCATTAACGTTGGGGTCCGTGGTTATTAGTGAAGAGTTAGGAGTTTGGTTGGAGTCTTCGTTTAATGATGGAATGTTACAAATTTCGTTGTCTCTTACGTACTGTTGCACCACTTGACTGCAGTAGTTACAGCTCCTTAGTGAACCTATGAGGGCAATGAAAGGAGAGTTTCATTTTTTCTTTCAAAATAAAATTAGTGACAAAGTATAATTCATGAAATCAGTTAGTAAGTCTTCTTTATATAACGTAAAAATACTATCTGGTGCATTCTTCAGAAGCATACAATAATATCTTTTTTAATAATTTACAGATCTTTAGAGAAAACTGTTGCACTCTGATGACAAAGAAGATGACAAAAAAGAACACTGAATTCACTGAAGAACTTTTTAAAAGTTTATTTCATCAAATCATTTACCAGCCATTCCCCCAAAAGAAACAACGTTTCAAGACACACACTTACACGCAAACACACGCATACACACACGCACGCACGCACACGCAGACAAACACGCACACGGACACACACGCACACACCGGTGAATCCGACAAACGTTCCAGGAACTTCCTTATTACTACAGTTGGAGCAAAAAATCTGCCCACAGATTCTGCAGTGGTGCTTGCGAAGGATGAATGAGAATTTGGCCCCACAGTCGTAGCAATGCGTGCAGTGCTTGTCCAACATCCAATACTTTCTGAACTGACTGTCTTTGAAGGCTTGCGGCGTCTAGAAGTTAATTAGTAATTAGGTGGATTGCAAGTTAGTAATTATGTCAATTAAGTTGGTAATTGAAGTTAGTAATCAATTAGATTATTATTTGGTTGTTATTTCGGTGATACGGCCAGCAGTAACTTGAATGAGGTGTATCTTGAAATGCCTATTATTGCAACGGTTTTGCTAGTTAGGTGCGTTAACCATTAATTTATTTGTGGTAATTATGATATGGAATTCTTACAAAATACAAATAATTTACTAAAGAGATGAGATATTGAGTGAGAGAGAAGATAAGGAATTGAATGAAACATCATACATTTCCTTTGCTGTTGACAATCCTAACAAGACCTTTCAGTGTATTGGAAAATAAAATTCGACCAGATGGAAATAAGCTGCTGCTGCTACTGGATGCTACTTTATCAGCTGCTACTTTATCAGCTGCTGTTTTATCAGCTGCTGTTTTATCAGCTGCTGTTCTATCAGCTGCTGTTTTATCAGCTGCTGTTATATCAGCTGCTGTTTTATCAGCTGCTGTTTTATCAGCTGCTGTTTTATCAGCTGCTGTTCTATCAGCTGCTGTTCTATCAGCTGTTGTTCTATCAGCTGCTGTTTTATTGGCTTCTAAATTATTTTCCTCTGCATCTTCTCTACCTTCACTGATGTTGTATTCAGATTTAATATTTTGATAGCCTTTTGAATCTGAGAAAGATAATAAATGAAAAAATTAACCATGATTAATTTTTTGCATTAGCCATTGAAAAATAAAACAAGAGCAAATATGTTCTTAATTCAATAATTAATTTATACCTTTTCTTAATAAACTTTATAAAAAACAAATAACAAACAAACCTTTAATGTAACTATCATTTTGATTATCACTATCCATGACTAGTTAGTTGAAACTTTGCAGCATCCACTAACTAACTAACTAACTAACTAACTAACTAACTAACTAACTAACTAACTAACCATCTAGAATCTAGATCCACCAAGAATGCTTGGGTAAGACAAGAGGAGAGTAACTAATGAAAAAATGTGTAGAGTAGTGTATGTACTTAATGTAATGTATAATGTTAATGTAAAAAGAGGTAGTGTATGTATATCTATTCTATATGTACTGTCTTAATCATTAATGTAATGTATAAATGATAATCTTTCTGTAAAAATTGGTAGTGTATGTATATGTACTTAATGTAATGTATAACCTTAATGTAAAAATTTGTGGTATATAATTATAATATAATGTAAAATCTTAATGTAATGTATATATTATGATAATCCTAATGTAAAAATAGGCAGTGTATGTGTGTATGTATATGTACTTAATCCTAATCTTAATGTAAAAATGGGTAGTTTAGTGTCTATGTACTTAATGTAATCATTAATGTAATGTAATACATTACATTGTAATGTATAATTTTAACTTAATGTAAAAATCTGTAGTGTATGTAATGCGTACACTACAGAATACAGATATACTATGTGTATGTGTCAGTTGTATGTAGTCACACCTTTATAATTGAATAGTACAGTCAATAGTTGAGTTGTAGTTATAGTTGATCATGAAAACATCAGGAAAGGCCCCAGTTCAGCTACTCTAGTAAATTGAAATAGTATTTTATAAATATTAAAAAACTAATTAATTAATTTTTAATATTTCAATATTTTAATTTTCAATAAAAATATGTCTGAAAATGACTGCAAATTACTTAAACAGTCACTTTGTTATTAAATTTTTACCAATATCTTACTAATTTATTGCTAATTAGGTTACTTTATAACAAGACACGAAAGATAGATCAGGTATAAAAAACAATATAAGGAAATCAGTTGTCGAGTTTGTTTACAGCAGAGCATTCACTTTTAATCATTTAAAATCCACCTTGGGGTAAAAAGTGAAAATTATTTATTTTGAGGCGCATTATTTACAATTAAAAATTCGCACTCCAAAATATTCACACATACACAACGTACATACATAAGGTATAT